GTTTTTAACCTGGAAAATACTTTTCAGAACCAAAATGGATAATTCCAAATTCTTCTGCAGGGCAAGGGGTGGCAACATATTAAATCAGCCCTGGGTCATTTTATAATAATTAGCACTTAAAGAATGCTTTTTGATCTGAAGATGTCAAAGCACTTTACAAAAGTTAAGTGACTTTCCCAAGGTTACACAGCAAGTTAGTCAGAGGTGGGAGTAAACCCCTGTTGTTCTGAATTCCATTCACAGACTCTGACTCCTGGATCAACCTACACTTTCCTGCTGAAGTAGGAGGAAAGCAAGACAAGTAATATAACACGATAGTGGTCTCAAAGCCAGTCCTGGAAATGTTTTCTACTGAAGTAATAGGGATGTGGATATTGGTAATAAGCCACCCTTTCAAAAAAAACAAAACAAAATACTTATAGTTTATCTGTTTAATACAGCCAAGCTGAACCTATAGCCGATTTTATGTAGATTCTCCAATCAAGCTCTCAGAACTCAATGGCTTATATCCATATGTGAAACTGCTGTACAATTTCTTTTCCCTTTGGATGTTTAAGTCTAAAAATAATTAATTATTAAACAATCCTCTTTCTATCAGGGATATTGACATGACTTCCTTAAGCACAATCAATTTCTGCCATGTTCTACTGTGCCACATGTATCAATTTTATTTAGATACACCAGTTTGGCTATTGACCATGAGTTTGTAACTAGGTCCAAAACTAGATTGTTTACTTACCTCAGATTGGTTTGTCTCAAAACCAAGTTAGTTGTAAAATTTATTTTGGTGAGCCATTCAGTTATGATATATACTTTGTTTCAAAATTAGGTAAAACTAGTCCTACCCCTAAAATAAAGAACTGAAAATTGTAGTTTTTGAACACACTATCATTTTAAAACGTAATTGTAACAGTGCTTGGTGCCATAGATGCTTAAGCAATCCCTGTGCACATAAAAGTCCTCAGCAGTGCACTTGTGGCACTATTTGAGAGAGAACACATCTTCCTCTGTGCCATAGAGCAAGTGGCCAGCTGTTTATCTACAGCAGGGATCGGCAACCTTTGACACATGGCCCATCAGGGAAATCCGCTGGCAGGCTGGGATGGTTTATTTACCTGCAGCATCCGCAGGTTTGGCCAATCGCAGCTCCCACTGGCCACAGTTCGCCATTTCAGACCAATGGGGGCTGCGGGAAGCAGCGGGAAGCAGCGGCCAGCACATCCCTTCGCCCGCGCCGCTTCCTGCAGCCCCCATTAGCCTGGAACAGCGAACCACAGCCAGTGGGAGCTGTGATCGGCCAAACCTGCGGACGCTGCAGGTAAACAAACCATCCTGGCCCGCCAGCAGATTCCCTGATGAGCCGCCTGCCAAAGGTTGCCGATCCCTGATCTTACAGTACTCCTTTGCTGTCTTTTAGTACTTTAATTCCTCCTGAGGGTGAAAGCAAACAACTGTCCTAGATAACTTCACATTAGCCAAACTTAAATGAAATAATTTATTAGAAATTGTACATCACAAATAAAGAAAAACATTGAATTGAGAGATGAGTAGAAATAAAGAAGCATGCTTACATGGATCCTGAATAAATGGAAAGTGTCACTAGACATAAAGTTTAGTTATAGAATATTGAATTACCTCGGCCTACAGCATTGCAGAAAACATTCTTTACCACAGCCCAAAGCTTTCCGCCTACACCAGTCATGTGTTCGAGTCTCTTGTACCAGAGAGCATCTGGATAAAATTCTGCACTTTCACACAGCTGTACAATGACCATTAACTTCAGTGGTGTTATGTTCTCTCTCTCTCTCTCTCTCTATCTCTCTCTCTATCTATATATAACAGTAGCTATATATGTTCAGTCAGAATACATTTTTATTTTAGATGAAGGGAAAGAACAAACAAGAAATGGCAGAAGTAAAGTCTTCATGAGATAACAAATTACATTTCCTCTAAAATGCTTCCCCAAATCTATCTCACAAAATGGCAGCTGCCCTCTGAAGACAGCAGACTCCTAGATGCCTACAGATTTGGTAGAAAAAAAAATAGAAACAAGTTATGCAGTGGCCTTAGCTGATCTGTAATTCAGGATGAAGCTAGCTAATTGTTATGGACCTGATTTTAACACCTCCCCCCATCTAAATTCCTTGAAAAATAATTGAATTTTGCATGCCCTCATCCCAGGCAATCTATATGGGAAGTTTTGTAAAAATCAGAAATGGAATTTTAAAGTTAGGGTGTCTTGAAAATTGAGGTGAAGTTCTCTTTTGGGAGAAATGTGACATAGTTTGGCTCATAATGGTTGCAATCCAGCAAAGCATTCAAGCACATGCTTAACTCTAAGCACCTGAGAAGGCTTTTTGAAATAAATTGGACTACCAATGTGTTTAAATCTAAGCATGTTCATGTTTTGCTGCATCAGGGCCAATATCTCCAGATGATGACCTAAAAGCTCCAAATTTGTTTTGTTGGCCTTGCTGTGAAAATACTTAAGTTTTTTGTTTGACCTTTGTTTGCTTTATTTGTTTTGGGGGTGTTGGAGGAAACTGGGGAAGATACATTAACAGCTACTATGGTGAAGCAAGGAAGGGGTTAACTGGATGCTCATAAATACAGGATTATAAAAAGTCAGTGGAATGCTGTCAGAAGGGTTCTGAAGGAGTCTTCTTCAGCAATTAGCCGAATGGTCGGCTGGAGTGATCATTTGCCATTTGGTCCGTTTCTGTGCAGCCGCAAGGGCTTGATGGGCCAAGAGTCCAATGTCGGAACAGACTTGATGCACCCATGTAATAGGTGCCTCTGGGCCACATCCACCCCTCAGGGTGAAGAGAAGTGATGAATATGGTGCTCAAGTGAGAGAACTGAAGATGAGTATGTTGAGTGGCTGAGACGTGGGTGTATGGAGACATGGATGCTGTGCATGTTAGCATTCGGTGTTAGAGGTGGGCTAGTAGATTTTTTTTTATCTGGGCTGAGAAGTTTTTGGAGAATCCTTCAAAGCTGAGCTAAGTAAACAATGCAGTGTGTATTTGTGATCATTCAGTATCATAAAGGGATTTATCCCAACTCCTACTGTGTTTATACTTTTGATTTTTGGAGTAATTGGTAGCTAAGAAATATGAGAATTAATAGTAAATTCTTCTTGGCGCATGCATTGTGCTTTATTTTTGAAATATGATGGATGTATAGACATTAGGTATTCTACCAGCCTTGTGTCCAACTCATAAGTCGTTAGATAAACATTGGTATTCCCATTTTCTAGATTTAGGTGGGAGGGAAGGAAGCTGTACAAGATATTATGTTGATTGCCCTCGGTCACACTGCAGCTCCGGAACAGAGCCACAGAACTTCCTGACTCCCAGTCTTGTGCCAAATCTGTTAGCTAGACCACCCACAGCTTTTAAGGTGAGGGCAAGAGCTAAGTGGTGGATAGACAAGAGTGGAGAGCTGTGCATTCATCAGGAGCTCAAGAAGTGCTCGGCCTTTGACCTACTAAAAAATTAATTTAACTTAATAGGTTAAAGAGTGAGTTATACACCACGTGTTGATTTATCACACACCCATAACTTCAATTTTCATAAATCTGCAGAACCATTTTAAATCAGCACAGTTGTCTTTGTAAGTCTGCTTTAAATCCCCTGGCTCTTTACTTATTGCTAGGGTTGCCAACATTGTATTTCAAAAATAAGGGACTGTTTCCTTAGCAACCCCGCTCCACTCCTGCTCCTGATGTTATCATTTATTATTAATAATAATTAGTACTCGCCCACGTTTGCCAGGGCTATTTCTTGCTGCTTTTTGCAGCACTCAGCAACTCCAGATCTTGTATAGAAATGAAAAAATAAGGGACATCCCTTGTAATAAGGGACTGTTGGCAACCCTACTTACTGTTCTTCAGATCTGTCTTTGTTCTATTGCCTAAACAAGATATTTAACCTAAACAAGATCAAAGGCACCACAAGACAGTTCATGAATGGTTCCCCTGTAGTTTCAACTTGTACATAGGGAAAACCATAATGACCTAAGGAATAGATCTGTGCTATAGTAGAAACTTGTTCACTGGCCAAGTCTGAAAATATGTTATCACTTATTTTTCTAAAAGGATACAGTAATTTCATACTGTCTAAATTACTGGCTAATGATTGCTGGTTTCAAAGGGTAGAGGTATTTGTTCCATGAGAAAAGGATTGTTCAAGGAGTTGAGCTGATAAATATGAAACTCAGTAAGGGCCAATTTTTAAAAGGATTTAGGTGCCTCAAGATGCAGATTGAAAATCCCACTAGGAACCTATCAGCATCTTTAGGTGCTTATATATCTTTAAAAAGCTGGCCCCAAGAACCTTTCAGACATTTCTTGTATATGCAAATTAATACTGATTTTAAAAAACAAACAAACATAAGGAAGTACTTCTTCACATAACACAGAGTCAGCCTGTGGATCTTGTTGCCAGGGGATGTTTGAAGTCCAAAAGCATAAATCATAAATGGGTTCAAAAAAGAATTTGATCCTTTCATGGAGGATAGGTCCATCAATGGCTATTAGCCAAGATAGTCAGGAATGCAACCCCATGCTCCAGGTGTCCCTAAACCTCCAAATGCCAGAAATTGGGACTGGACTACAGGAATGGATCACTCAAAATTACGCCTTTCTGTTCATTCCCTCTGAAACATCTGGTACTGTCCACTGTCAGAGGCAGGATACTGCACTGGATGGATCATTCATTTGGCCATTCAGATGCTGGAGGCTTTAGTTGATATCTGAAGGAAATGGAAAACTACAGAGAACCTAAATGAGAAATTGAACTCTTCCACTGGGTCTGGAATTCTAATTACATTTAGAATAATTGTCAAGATTATACAGCAGAACATGAGCAAGTATTTGACTGTTTTCCCAAGCATAGCTACATATCAACCAGAGCTTTGATAGCATAGAATATAAAAATATAATGTGGAAAAACACCTTTTGAAATGTTAATTAATCTTTTCTCCTCTCTTTTCTCTAGGATTATGATTGCTTTTTTGAAGCAAAGGAAAGCAACACGGTCTTCTCCTTTCTAGGGCTGAAACCTACGTTGGCATCAAAGGTGAATATTGCATTTACAGACCTTTATGACTCCTCTTGCGATCTTCAGCTTGAATTTGCTTTGAGAGAAGTTGAGAGGTCAGCATGTTCATGCTGATGCTCCTCTCTCTCTTTCCTTGCCAATATTATACTAGTGAGCTATGTGAAATTGGAACAATAAACAGAAAAGCATTTTAGACCAAACAAAATCTTACCTGTTTTAATTTCTGATATATAATAGAAGCTATAATTATCTTCTGCCAATTGCACATTAAGGGCAAAATTCTGCTGTTGTTACGCCAGTGTAAATCCAAAGTGACTCCATTGATTTCAGAGGGGCTGTTCTGGATTTACACTGGTGTATCAGCAGAACTTGGCCCTTAATCAATGACGTAAGTGCAGTTAAGGATGCAAAAACATCTTTGTCTTGCTTTGGAAATATTAGTCTGGGAAAATAGCTAACATTGGTCAACATTTGGTCAGTAGGTGTTTAAAAAAATCACTTAACTGATTCAGGATGTTGGTGAAACCACTTGATTATAGCAATTCCTTATGGGACAGTTAAAACTTGGAGGAAGTATGTATGTAGCAGGCACCAGTCAGTTGCAGTTAGCTTCTCTATTGAATAGACAATATAATTCCTGATATAGTACTGCTTTACCTGTTGTGATCCTGGACTATCTCATTGTCTCACTGTATGAGGATCCTTTGTGCAATGGGCCAAACTGCTGGGCAAGTTTCTTTCCCCCTCGGATCCTTTGAATTTATTATCCTCTTGCCACAAGTGCTATGTCAGGGCCAAATCCTGGCCCATGGCTTTCTATGAATAAATAAATCTCCATAAAGGAGGATTCCTTTCTTCTAGAGACTTGTTATTCCTGAATACTGTGCACTGTGCAGGGGGTGAGGACGTGCAGAAGGAGATTCCTCTGGCAGCCACCTCTTTCCTTTTCCTTGCTCTCTACCTTCAAGCCAGGGTCCCAGGAAAAAGATTCCCTTCTGGCCCCCAAATCAGAAACAGCAGCTGCTTGTTGCTGTGTTATTGGAAAGCACCCTGTTGCAGGCCTGGAGAAGAGTGTGCATGTGAATTGTCCCCGAACAGTATGGGAATGATCTAGTTTTAAAACGTGAGGCAAGAAGTGCAGCTGGCCATCGACTAAACTTTTAAAATGACCAGACAGGCTGGCAAGCACACAAAGTAACCGAACATTAATGTTATGGTGTTGCTAGGTTCTTGCAGTTATACAGTGATCTTGGGTGTTACTTATAATAAAAGTGGGTAACGATTTCAGACAGAAGTGTGATCTTCCAGTTGTTGCTGTCCCTTAGATATTGCATGGGAATGTTCAGGTACTGTATTTGGTGTGGAAAATTTCAGTTGTAATTGCAAATGCACAGTCCTCTAACTTTATATTTGGAAGGTATATTTGTTCATCCAGTTATACTTGTATGAACAAATATGAGTTCAAGCTGTAATAAGTATCCCCAGACCCAAAGAAGAATAAAGAACTACACAGTTAGTTGATTTTTGCCCCCCCCTCCCTCTTTTAAACAGGAGTCAGAACCCTAGAAAAATTCTTTGAAGATTCAACAAGCACATCTGGATGAAAAACCTTGTTCAGCACATGACTGCTTTCCTAATGGATCACTGTGATAAAAAGCCAATGCGAATCATCAATATTTTGCTTGCCATGGAAGAGGTGCTTTCCAAAGGTGTGAAATTAATGTGTACACAAAATGGGATAAAGGGTGAGATGATACTCCTTTTTTTAAAAAAATGCCCACTCTTGATGTTTCACATTTGTCTATCGATTACATTTTCACTGGCTTTGGTATTCTAGCAAATAATCTATTTAACTCCAGGATGTTGAGGAATGGAAGTGTAAAATCTGTATGGTCATGGAAGGGGATCTGGCAAGAATGTGAATCCTTTATAAGTCTTCAGCTACTGCAGTCTGGATAAAATTAGTTTATCATGACAGTTATAGTTTTGATGGTTAATAGAAAGTGGTGCTAGTTACGATACAGAAGATGAAAAACAGCATGAAGAACTTGGTTTATGCCAAAAACTGCAGATTTCTGCTCAGTATATTTACTGTGCTGTCTATGCTAGAACATGTTTATTGCAATATATGTGGGCTACTAAGCTCTCTCATAAAAAAATCACATTACGATTGGCTGTTAAAAAACAGTGGTTAATGGGGAGGGGAGAGAACTCAAACTGATGCTGTCTTGACATCCATGGGTCCCCCCTCCCCCCACATACACTGCAATAAAATTGGTCTGTTGATGTGTTTGAAAACAATTGTTTTGTTGGCAAGTACACTTTAACATGTGAGGTGCGTGTCAAACTCGCGCGTATAGCAGTTGAAAAGACATCATACAAAGCCATTACATAATATCTGTTATTTGGGTATGACTTTCCACCTCAAATTTTAGAGCTCATCATTTGGCTGTTTTAAAAGATTTCCAAAGTTATGGGGCTAATTCTGCTTCCCTTAATCACTTTCAATAGAATTCAACTCCACCATTAGCCCCATTGATGTTGGTAGAACTACTTCTAGAGGTAGGGCTCGATCTTGCAAATAACTTAAACACAGCAGTTGTCCTCATGATTTGAAGGTGAAATCTGTTAGACAATGGGATTGCTCACATGCTTAAAGTAAAGCTTGTGTATAAATGCTTTGCTGGATAAGGCCACAGTATCTGACCCCTTGCAGGATCAAAGAAGCATCAGTTACTATTCAATGTGAATAAGGGAAGCAGAAACTGCCCCTGGGGATTACCCTGATGTAGCAGAGCCCAGTTTGGCCATGTATGACTTAACCATTTTTAAAAAATTGAAATTTGAGAGTAGACTGCTTAGCAAATGGATTGTCTGTAATCTAGTCTAATTGCGTTTAGCAATGGGAAACCCTTTGCCCTGTTAAAATAACAGCTATTGAACTTCATAAATGTAGCTTCTGCTCAACTGTGGGAGCTTTCTTCCAAAACAATTTGATGGTCATTTGACTGTGCTATTCCAGTAAGTATTCTGGCTTTGCTGGGCAAATGGCATATGGCCGCTAAGTGTGGAGGGCAGCTTTCCTGCAGTCACCTGGGCTATATTTGGTAGTGGCTAAGACGCCTGTCAGATACCTGTGTGCTGGAAGACTGTTTTTGCTTGTAAGCATGCAAGTGAGCACAAAGGTGACCCACTCTCGATATAGTGACTCTCCTACGTGTGACAATTTCCATATGCTACAATAACAAGTGCAGTAGTTTGTGAAATTGGAAGATTGCTGACTCAGGTCAGATGCGAATAAAGAGGCACAGGGATAGTTCTGCAGGACTGACATCCATAGCTCTGTCAACTGTTACTGCTTTGTGAAGAGAGGTGGTTTCCCTTCACTTCATTAGCATTGTCTCCATTTACACATACTCCACTGAGAACTCTGCTGGCCGTGTTTGTATTAAAAAGAAAATGCTAAAAATTACATGAGAGGAATTTTGTGAACCGAATTCTGCTTTTGATCTTCTCATGCTGCTCCTATTGAAGTAAAAGGAGCCACACGCATACACTGAGCACAATTTGGTTCTGTCTTTATTTTCATCAGCCCCTGCTCTGGATTCCTCTCCTGGGGGTGCTGTAGCCAAGATGTTCAAATAGAAATATATTTTTTAAAATAGTAATATGTTGCCTATGATAAAAGTTGTGTTCATAGTTTTATAATCACATATTTTATGGGGTCTTAACTTCACTGTACAAATGGATTTGGCAAATCGGATCTGAGCCAGAGATCCATTTTGTTAAAGTTAACAAAATTCTGGACAACTGTTAATCTGAGTGCAAGAAATTTTCATCCCCTTGCAATGTTAAGTAAATGAAATTTACATAGTTACACAGTAAAACAGAGAGAAGCCATCCTGGATTAAGCACATACTTGATTTGTTGTACATTTAGAGAATTACCCAAGGTCCCAATTCTGAGGAAGTTTATGCATATGATTAACATCATTGGGTGAAATCCCAGCCCCATTAAAGTCAATGACAAAACTTCTGTTGATTTCACTGAGGCGAGAATTTCACTCATTGAGTTTAACAGAACTCCTTCTGCGTTTAAATGTCCACAGGTTTTAGGTCTAAAATTATAATTGAACAGAAAACCAGTATCATTATTACTGTTAGGTAAAAGGGCTTCTTTAAAAAGATTAGTTGTGGACACTGTTTATCTGGAAGACAAGAATAACTCCAAAAATGTCCATTTTGCTTGCACAGATTGGCATTATAAATCCATTTAGAGAAGAAATTTTCTTTTGATCTTTTTTAAAGCTATAAGTTGCTTGAATTTGAGTTTTTTCATTGATTAACAGCCTTATTTTTTTTAATTATTATGTAGCCTTTTAGTTTGTTACAAAAATTGACCTGGATTTCTTTTTAACCGGTTTTATAGTTATGAAATTTGTTAAAAAACTAATTAGTTTTAACTGGAAAGCTTTGTTGAAGGTAGATGCAGTAGCTGAAACAAATGCCAAGTTATTAATTTTTTAAAATAGCATAAAAAGTTACATCAAAGAAACAATGGGCTAGAATCTGACCCGATGCCAGTAGTTACCCCAGTTTAAACACAGGCAGAAAATCAAAATCAGGTCTAATGCGAATTAAACCTCAAAACTGTGTAGACAGCTAAAGCTGCCATTAAATAAATGGGAATTTGGTTTTGCAAGGAATGTAAGATCAGGCTTTAAAGTCAAATTCTATCCTCCGATGTGTGTGAATGATTCCTGTACACTTCAGTGACAGATCTTGTGTATGCACCAAGGCAAGAATCTGGCCCTTACAATGAACCATTAGAGATCCCTTTTGCTTTGGCTACCTTGTAAAAACTCAATGCCATCCACTTCACTAGCTATCACTTACTACAAGAACTGTAATCAAGAGAAAATGTTTGAATTGGGAGGGTGTGCACACAGCCACTGTACCAGTGGTTTTAGTAGGTATGTTTGTTGTATTGTAACAAATGAGAGGTGCCACAAAGCACTGGAGAGTGTCTTGGCTGAAGTAGGACTGTTACTACAGAAGCTTATTTTTTATATATATATAAAAATAAAAGAGTGTGTGTGTGTTTTGGTTCCAAGAATAAGAACACACACACAATTTTAATAGGGTTGAATCAGTCTGATAAACTTTTAAATGTCTTGTACTTTCTTTTAATTTAAAGAGTAAAACATTTTAAAATAACTTTGCTTTTGATGATTCAGGTCAAAGGCCAAGACTTTGAAAAATAGGAGCCTAAATTAAGCTCCTGAATCTACTTGTAAAATAAATGACCTGATTTGCAAAAGTGCTGGCCTCACCCAGCAGCTCACATTAGAGTCACTGGGAGTTGCTAAGTATTTAGCAGCTCATAGAATCAGATCATTTTGTTTAGGAGTCTCATTTTTTGACATGATTTTCAAAAATAGGGGCCTAATATTTGTTAGTGTTGCTGGCCACAGAACTGCTTTAACTATTGTTTTCAACTGGTAGTGACAGAGGTGGTTTGATTTAACAATAAAGACTCTTAAAGATGGTTGTTAGATGTTACATTTCTGGGGTGCTGGTTTTTCCTTGATTTACTTAGCCAGGAAGTGCTAAATCCTGCTAGTCTTATTTGCTTGACTAGTTCCATGGATTTCATTAGAACTATTTACGTGAACAATGCAAGGAGGATTTGGCCTGTGATTATTTTCATGTGTCTAGAATAAAAATAGTAGAAATTGGAAAGAGAAAAGAAGCCTAATAGATCAGCTAGAGCAGTGGCTCTCAAACTGGCGACCCCTTTCATATAGCAAGCCTCTGAGTGCGACCCCCCCCCCACCCCTTATAAATTAAAAACACATTTTTATATATTTTACACCATTATAAATGCTGGAGGCAAAGTGGGGTTTGGGGTGGAGGCTGACAGCTTGCGACCCCCACATGTAATAACCTCACGATCCCATGAGGGGTCCCAACCCCCAGTTTGAGAACCCCTGAGCTAGAGCATTCCCTGGCCTTGGGTATTCTACCACTGCACAAAGTCTGTAGTTCAAACTGTTCCTGTAACATTCCTGGACATCACAAATGCAGAACTGATGCTCCCTTTGATAACGTAATTGTTCTACATGGGTTTGGGGAACGAGGGGAAGTACAATTTGAGCACATTCTAGACAGTCTAAATTTTTTTTTTAAATTACCTTAATTAAATTATATATTACACCAGGGGTCGGCAACCTTTCAGAAGTGGTGTGCCGAGTCTTCATTTATTCACTCTAATTTAAGGTTTCACATGCCAATAATACATTAATGTTTTTAGAAGATCTCTTTCTATAAGTCTACAATATATAACTAAACTATTGTTGTATGTAAAGTAAATAAGGTTTTTAAAATGTTTAAGAAACTTCATTTTACAATTAAATTAAAATGCAGAGCCCCCTGGACCGGTGGCCAGGACCCAGGCAGTGTGAGTGCCACTGAAAATCAGCTCGCGTGCTGCCTTTGGCACGTGTGCCATAGGTTGCCTACCCCTGTACTACACCATCTCATAAATAATGGCTGAATTCAAGGAAATCATCAGGACCCTGCAGTAAAATATGCCAAAGAAATCAGTGAAATAACACAGTTAATTCACATACAGTTCCGTTTGGCTGCAGCCTACTAGTCTGCCTGAATCAGCCCATGATGGATAGGAGCATCGCAGTACTGTTGTAGCTTCCAGCAGAAGGATGAGGCCTGTCCTGCAAGATTCTGAGCACCCTCTATTCCTATTGCCTTACAAGGTAATCACAATGTCCCGAATACCTTCAGGAACAAGCCCTAGCCCCAAAGTGTTAAATAGGAGCAATTCATTAGCTTGTGGTGGTCATTTTAAGTACTGGATTCATTAGTATGAGTGCCAAGGGAGTTGGGGCAGATCTTCAGTTGGTGTCATTGGTCATAGCTCTGTTGAAGCCTGTGGAACTATGACAATTGATACCATCTGAAGATCTGCACCCATGTTCTAAATTTTCATGAGTAGTGTTTTTTTTTTACATATTTATATTTAATGTATAAAACTAGGTTTCCTTAGGCTTATCTGAAATACATGTAACCTACTGTTTTGACTGGGGCACTTTCTGGTGTTCCCTATAAGATATTAAGCTGAGAGTCTAAATTGGTGTAATTTACTCTGTAAGGGGCTGACAAAAGGTGCAAGTTGCATCATTTGCAGCTCCCTTAGAGCGATTCTCTACCATACAATTTACACCCCCTTCCTCTCCTCCAAAATTGCCTCATTATCTTTGGCATAAACATTGCCATGAACACTGTACTAATTTGTAGATTCCTATATCCAATGTAGAGAAGTATTATCCTCGGATAAGGGAAATAAGAGGTCTCAGGCACACAGGGAAGTCAAGTGTGCAAAGGAAATGCTACCCATACAGTAAAATGGGCCAGTTCCTCAACTGGTGTAAGCAAGGAGAACTCCTCTGAAGTAAATGGAGCTTTATCAATTTACACTAGCTGAGGATTTGGACTGGAACAAGTATGTCTAAATAGCGAGACTGGAAGGAGGTTATGATTCAGTGTATCAGATTTGCTGTATATACCATTGAGCAGAAACAACCAGATTTTGCTGAAGAGATGAAAATTAATCTAGGTTTGCAGAGTAGCTTGACCAGATGTCCCCTCTTATTCCCACATGTAGTATCTTTTCTTCCACTTAACATATGCATGCTTTCAAATCATAAACCTATTAAAATATAATTCTGTACACAGAGGTGCCATGCATTGAATTCATTTAGCTTAATCACTGCATATGATTCCTCTCCGATTGCTTTCATACCTTCATACCTCCTGAACATTGTGTGTGCTGTCCAGGGCATGTGCACTAAGGGTGTCTAATATCTTTACATTATGCCTGTAGAAAGCTTTTTCTCCAGGACAGGGCTGACAGTTACCCGCAGTGTCCCCCAGGTGTTGACGACTCATTTAGTCTGTTTTACTCATCAAAGATCGCCATTGAATAAAAAATAATTTTCTTCCATCAGCTGCAAAATTTACATGAAAATCTTTTAAATAAAAGTATCAGGTAGCAAAATACTCAGTTCAT